TTATAATTTCTATTGCTCTCCTGAGTAGTCACTTCAAATTCTCCAGGTGTAAAAATAAAGTTCAGTATTAGCTCACAGGACAACATGGAAGAAAAAACAATAATTGCCTTCTAAGGGGTCACCCTCAAGAAACTGGGGATATAGCCCCAACATCCTAAGTTCCCATCATCTAGTATTCAAAAATTTATTTAAAATCTTCTTAAACTTTTTTTGCATTCTCACACTATACACTACCTCTCTAGATGAGTTGCAGATCCAATACAATAATCTTGGACTCTCATTCCATCTCAGAAATCCTTCTGTTATACCCATATTTCTCCCTGCCTCTAAAAATGCAATCCTCACACTCTACACATTCAACAGATGTTTTTGTCTCCTACTTTCACAAGTCTGAGGCCACTCAGCAGAGGTCTCCTCTAGCTGAGAGGAAGAAGTGCCAATGTTCCTGCTAAGAGTATGTATACTTGTGCCATCGATTCCATTCTGTGCTATTCTCTTTAAAGACTTTGTTCCAACAGTTATTATTTATCTCGTCCAGTCTCTTCATCTCCACTGACTCCTTACAACATGCCTACAAACATGCAAAAAAAAAAAAAATCCCACCTCTAATTCTCAAAATCATCTGTTGTTCCTTCCTCCTTCATTCACTGACTGACCCATCTAATTCCTTCCCTTCCCTGCCAAAGTTCTTAAACAAGCCAGTTAAAACTATTTCCTTCACTTTCTCATCATTCAACCTCTACTTAACCCCACTGCAATCAAACTTCCAATCCCCCAGCCAATAGTAATCTGTCCTTCTGTCCCATGGTTCACCAATGACCAACTAGCTGACAAATCAAAACTCCTGTTTTAGTCCAAATCTTTTGCACCCTTTGCGTAAATAGAATCCAACCCTTCTCAAGGAAGCCTTCCTCATACCCTCTAGCTGATCACTAATGGCCTTTTCCCACCTGAAATATCATACCAAATTTAGCCTGGTCTTCTCTTATATAATTATCATTACTATTTTGTTTTATAGTAACTTACGTAAGATGAAAGGTAAACATGGTGTTCTGGACAGACATTTGTAAACTTAAAACTGATAAATGTGAGGTAATATTACAATAGGAAAGGGTGGTGAAAAAAGTCAGGAGAAACCCAGGTTTGAATCCTGGCCCTGACACTCACTATACTTACTGATTATATAACTTTGAGGAAATTACAATCTCTCTGAGCCTGTTTTCTCTTCTATAAAATGAAAATAATACTTTCCATATCTCCCTTATAGGGCTGTTACAAGAGCAAAAGCATTCTGAAAACCTTAAGGTACCATAATACCATAAGTTTGCTTAGTTTTTACACTACTGTTATATAGATTCCTACCTAGTCTCTTAGGCCCATGAGAAAAAGCCCCAGGGTTAGTCTACACTGTGATGTGCAGGATTTACAGAGCACTTGGATTCAGGCCACACAACTGCTACTTGAGGGACCCTGATCAAGTCACTTCTCTTGAGCCTGTTTCCTCAACAGGAATAGAAGGAGATTAGACTCATCTCCAACATCCCTTCTAGCTCAAAGTCTATAGACCCATGATCAGGAACTATACAATAAAATGTGTTTCTGGAATTAAATTCTACATCAGTATGCATATAACTGCAACACTTTTATAGCAACTCAGTTTTGTGTCCTAAATAGCACTTGGTTAGAACCTAGCTGAAGGTTTTTTTAAAGGCTAAAATGATGTGCTTTTGTCCCATCTCACTGTGTATCATGGTTAGTACTACTTTCATTTGTTATGAGGCATATCGACAATTTGATGGGCCTAAAATTAGTATACTTATACAGCTAAGCTATCTTTTCACAGTCTCCACAACAGTTTTAACCTATATATTAAAAGGAAAATAATATGAAATCTTACTGTACTGAAAAGGAAAGGTAAATACCAAGACACAAACAATTTCTCAGTATAGATCTTTGAATTTTCCCTAAAGAGAAACAGCAAAGAATAATCATTCTATAACTGACCCCTCAAAATTTTAAATTTACCAAATTATTTGGTTTACTAATATTTCCCAAACCAAATTAAAAATTTTAAATGGTAACCAATATTATATGGAAAATCTAAAAGGTTAAAGGTTAGATACTTAATTCAGCAAAGAGCAAACATTTATTCAGTGCCTACCATACACGCTAGGCCCCAATGCTAATCATAAAGACAAAATGGAGAAACAAAATAAAAACAAAACAGCAAGAAAGGAAAGAGTTAAAGACAGATCCAAGGCTATCAACCTAGGTGACTAAATTAATAAATCAAAAGGTAGACAAAATCTCAAGATATTTTTTATTGTGTTGCTGATGTCACTTCTTACAATGTAAAAAGGAATGAACTGTTAACAGACTTACCAAGTTTATTGGAATTATAAAAATGCAAAAATTTATATTTTTCACAAAATGAAAAAGTTATAATGTTGTTTGATTAATGGTTAAAAAAAATAATGCTCATACCTAGACAAAGAAAAACGTTTTTAATAGCATGGAACTATCTGTTCTGGTGAAAATTCGTTGCTTTTTAAAAATTTGCTATTAAAGAATATTTTAGATTTTTTTAATCATATTCATAAATATTTTTCGTTTTTGTGTCATATCTGTTCTATTGCCTCTAGTCTATTTTCAAAGAAAAAAAAATAACTGAAAATACTAAAGAGGGACCAACCTTAAGACTGTGCCATACATTCCATTTCTCTCCTAGTAACTTCAGATTTCCTACAGTGAGATATTATTCTATACCATTTCTCATAGAGTAACTTTACTCCCAGTCATTCTCTTTGCTTTAATAGTAGCTAAGCAATTCAGTCTGTATTTGAGACTCCATTAAAAAAAAACAAACCCCCCCTTTTTTTTTTGGCAGGGAGCCCCACGCAATGGGGTTAAATGACTTGCCCAGGGTCACACAGCTAGTAAGTGTCAAAAGTCTGAGGCCACATTTGAAGTCAGGTCCTTCTGACTGCAGGGCTGGTGCTCTATCCACTGCACCACCCAGCTACCCCCTAAAAAGGACCCATTTTTAAAGAATTATGACAACTATTCTCTTTATGTTCAAAACCACAGGATACACCTCAGCCCCTTGTTGTTTTCTGTTCAGTTAAATAAAAGCAAAGCACATCAGGTGCCATCACCCACATCATTCAAAAACTCCAATCCTGGCAGCATATACAAATTTATCAAAAGCCTACATGCTGCCAGTCTTAATAACATAATTCAAAATCAGACAATTAACCTTTTTTATTCTTTAAAAAAAATTAAGCATAAAAGGAACTCAGCTTTACTGCCTTTTATATTATTAGTTGAAACAACAAGGTTTTTTATCTACTTTGAAACTACTCAAATTATAATGGAGTCTTGTCTATAAAGATTCTTACCTCACATCCCAGATCAAAATGAAATAAAATTATGTAATCCTTCTCCTCTTAGTTAAAACTGAAGTTATTTTAAATATCTTTACAATCACCATAAAAAAATCTAGTGATTTTGATTAATGAAAAAAGAAAAAGATGAATATTACTAAAGCAAACGTACACTGTATGTGCAACTATCAAAAAATAATAAATAGTATTACAATGGCACAATATGAAGCAACTGAAGCAATATCTCCCAATTCAAGGCAATCAATGTTTGCGGGACTAGAACCTTAAATCTTAAATCACCACCATTATAAACCCTCAGAAAAAAAAAAAAAGGTGACTTTTTTTTAGCTAAAGATGACCACAAAACCTGCAAGAAGTGTGATGTGCTTTCCCACTTTTAGGACACTATAGATTGATTTTTCATTATTAACATTACACAACAGTTTCACATTCAAAAAGTAAAGCTTCAGCAAAGGAACCCACTTAGTTAAATGATACTGCTCTTTAAACAAGGTGTTGAAATAACCTAAACTATACCAGACAATAAAGAAAAAGATGACTCATTCCTAAATGAGCCTAAAGAAGATATGCCAACACAGGTCAATACGATTTTAGCAGGAAGAAAAGTGATAACGACAAAAACAAAGTTATTCTCTTCCTCATCACATTAAGCAGAAGTCATATCTGGATAAAAAATTTCTAGAGATAAACTTAGCTAAAGTTGTAATAAATTAGAAGGATAAGATATTTGATATACACTACCTTCAATCTCTGCTAATATAAGGAAACAATGATGTGGAATAAAAAGATACCCACTGAGCCTATCACTGGAATGCTAGAAGGCTCTCACACTTGGAGCAGGTTTTGGGTAACAGCTGTTCCTGGGGCAGCTAGGTGGCACAGTGAATAGAGCTCCAGCCTTGGAGTCAGGAGGACTTGAGTTCAAATTCAGCCTCAGACACTTAAGACTTACTAGCTGTGTGACCCTGGGCAAGTCACTTAACCCCAATTACCTCACCAAAAAGAAAAAAACAAAGTCAGGAAGACCTTAGTTCAGATCCTAGGTCAGACACTTATTAGCTGTGTGACCCTGATCAAGTTCTAACTTCTATTTCCCTACCTGTAAAATGAGGATAATAATATCACCTACCTAACAGGGTTGTTGTAAGGATCATATGAGTTAACATAGTAAAGTACTTTGCAAACCTTGAAGAACTACATAAATGCTAGGATTATTTCTTTCCTAGTCTTCCTTGATCTTAGAGCCTTGCCTCAATTTTACCTCAAATTTATGCTGCACATATCTTGTTTATTGTACACTGCTATTTGTATGGCCCACTCCTATAGGACTCGGAGCTTCTTGAGAGCAGGAATTGTTCTCTTGGGGATTTTTTACGGGATGAGAGGAGGTGTCTTTGTATGCCCAGCATTTAGCACGTGGGAGGCACTTAATAAATGCTTACTGACTTGACTTTCTAAAATAATCAAAAAGTGCTGATGGCCCTGAGGTGAAAAGTAAAAATAAAATTGATATAGTTACAGGAATAGGAGCATATAATTCAACTATAATCTTTTCACATATGCCTATATTTTTGTGGAGACTAGTTATTTAATTACCTCTGCTTCTACATCCACATTTTGCTTCAAAAGCAGTTTTAAAATGTCAACATGTCCATTCTGACTAGCAGCTTGCATGGCAGTGTGTCCAGCACATTGTCCATTTACCTGAAAAAACAAAATAAAATGAATGTTAGGATATCCAAGCATAACTCTAACCTCCCAAAAGATAGTACATGCAATGGTTTCTAAAATTCTAAAATGTCAGTTATCTTCACATATCTGTGATTACACAGGCTAATTCTTTTTTAATAGTCACAAATTCAGGGTGAATAGAGTATGAAGAAAAGTTTTTGATACTATCCTTATTTTTTCATTTATATTCTTAAATTTGAGCTATGTTTCTATCATGGAAGTAAATAGGATATTTGTTATTTTACAAATTTGTTATTTTATAAATTTTTAAAGCAAACTGCAAATAATAGAATTCACACTTTCAAGTCTCATCTTTTTTGCTTTATTTGAATACACTTTTGTTGGTGGTTACTAAGTTTAAGAGTAAATAATTTTTTTGAAGTTTTTAAATAGAAAACTTTTCATGAAGAACAGTTTGAGTTGTAGGATCTCTACCATATCATGCTGATCTAGCCACAATAATATCAAGAGTAATGGGGGCTGGGATTCTATTCCCACGCATATTCACTTCTAGAATCTGAAATCAATACCCTTTTTAAAAGCAACAAAACCAACAAAAATTTGACAGCACAGCATGAGAGTTACAGTGGGCACTCTAGCTGTTTTTTAATATGGTGACATGTTCACAGTAAATACTTAATAAATGTCTATTGACTGACTGCTTTTAGCTAGTTTTGCATTAGAAGGGGGTTGGAATGGGTAAAATGTACAGGTATATCTCATTTTAGCAAACAGATAACAACACGCTAGAGAACTTGGCTGAAGAGCAAACTCTATTTTCCCACTGCTTTCTATTAATAAAATTGGTTATGTTATAAATAAGCTCTAGAAAAACAGAAGGGGAGAAAATAGAGGGGAAAAAAAAACCCCAACTATGTTTCACAGGGCTTCTCTACTGAAAGCCAACAGTTTACAGGCAAACAAATATCCTCTCGTCATGAGTTTCTCTTGCAGAAAACCACTGGCTTTGTTGCCACAAACACTATGAGAAGGGTCATAATGCCTAACTTCCTTTATAGGCAACTGCATTTTGTGACAGCTACCTATGAAAAGTTTAGTAAGGTTAAGAATCAACTATGTCTGCTTAAACAACAGATTCACTCAAATCACTCACTGAGGCATTATAGCACAGGTCTGTGACCAAAAAAACCCTATTATTATATAGTCTCTGCCTCTTATTGCCATTTGTAACTGCTATCATTCCCTAAACCATAAACAAACAAGTAGCTATGATATTACTCTCCTTAATCACTATTCTTTAAACCATGAGTATAGAAATGAAGGAATTATATATTTTTCTAGAAGCCACCAAAAGAATATAATTATGATGTACAAAGGGACATTCTTTGTAGTTATGACTTCGTAAGAGGTAAATTCCTACATTTATTACACTGGAGGAAACTCAAAGTGTTTATAAAACTTCTCTTCCTCTCTTAAATTTGAGAGACTCAACTGTGTCACAGCAAATATAATGAATGATTTTGTCATTTGCCATCACTACTAACCTCATCTCACCTAATGGCTATACTCTAAAATTTCCTAAAGAGTGTGATGAGGACCCCTGGGGGACCAAGGAGTTACTGCAAGAGATACTTAATTCTACATATGCACCAAGCCGCCATTTATTTATTTATTTATTTAGCTCCATAAAAATACACAATATTTGTAATGGGGCTTTTGTAAACAATTTTATATTAATACTGCTTCCTTTTTTCTAAATGGAAAAGAAATTTCTTTGCCCTTTGGGAATAAGCATGACATTATCTTTGGACAAGACGCCCCTCTCAAAGTAGGCCATCTGAGTTACTAAGATTTCATGAGGCCCTTCTTATGGAAATATACATTTTAATTGGATTAAATTAAAATATCACAGTGGAACTGGATTATGTTATAGTGAAAGACAAAATGCAGTCAATGGAATTTAGTCATCTATTTTCTCAATGGATGTTAACAGTACAAATAATAGATCATTTATAAAGCATTTTAACATTTGCAAAACACTTTTACATACACTCCCATCTACTGTAACTACTATTACGTGGAAAATCTGAAATTTTTTAAGGTTAAATAGGTGCTCTACTTGAAAAAATTGGGAACCATGAGTTTGTACCAGACCTGCACAACTTGTGGCCCATAGGCTGCTTGCAGTACACCGAAAGATTTTGGGCAGCCCTCAAAAAACACAGAGAAGAATATCCTCTACACTTTTCACAGGCCACCCAAAATCCTTTGGCGGGCTTCAGGCTGTGCAGGCCTGGATGAGAACTAAAAAGGCAAAATCTGAAAACTACAATTACTTAGTTTCTACGGGCAAGTTTATATTTTTTGCTTTTTTAGAAAAAAGCAGAGTCCTGAATGCCTTATGATGAAAGAATTAAAAGAATTTAAGAGTTTGAAAGGACCTCAGTGGTTCTTCCCCTTAAAAATTTTAGTCCTCTCATTTCTAAAATACATAAAGAACTAGGTCAAATTTATAATACAAGTCATTCCCCAATTGATAAATGGTCAAAGGAAATGAACAGGCAGTTTTCAGAGGAAGAAATTAAAGCTATCTATACTCATATGAAAAAATGCTCTCAATCACTATTGAATAGAGAAATGCAAATCAAAACAACTCTGAGATACACATCACACCTATCAGATTGTCTACCATGACAAAACAGGAAAATGATAAATGTTGGATAAAATGTGGGAAAATTGGAACACTAATGCATTGTTGGTAGAGTTGTGAACTGATCCAACCATTTTGGAGTGCCATTTGGAACTATGCCCAAAGGGCTATAAAAATGTGCATACCCTTTGACCCAGCAATAGCACTTCTAGGGTTGTATCCCAAAGAGACTGTACAAATGGAATGTACAAAAATGTTTACAGTAGCTCTTTTTGTGGCAGCAAAGAATTGGAAATTGAGGGGATGCCCATCAATTTGGGAATGGCTGAAGAAGTTGTAGTATATGAATGTAATGGAATACTATTGTCCTATAAGAAATGATGAGCAAGCAGACTTCAGAAAAGCCTTTCCTGGAAAGACTTATATGGACTGATGCTGAGTGAAGTGAGCAGAACCAGGAGAACATCGTACATAGTAACAGCCACACTGTGTGATGACTAACTTTGATAGACTTAACTCTTCTCAGCAATGCACGGATCTAAGACATATCCAAAAGTCTCATGATGGAAAATGCTATTCACATCCAGAGAAAGAACTATAGAGTTTGAATGCAGATCAAAGCCTATTATTTGCTCTTTTTTTTCTTCTATTTTGTTGTGTTTCTTCTTTCTTGTGGTTCCTGCCATTGGTTCTAATTCTTCTTTACAACATGACTAATGTGAAAATATGTTTAACAGGAATGTATATGTAGAGCCTATATCAGATTGCACACTGTCTTGGGGAGGGAGGCAGGAAAGGAGGGAGAGAAAACTTAAAACTCAAAAGCTTAAGAAAGTGATTGCTGAAAACTAAATTAATTTTTAAAAAAATTTTAGTCCACGGAATTCTATCTATTTTTTCTTTGAATCTTTTGAAATCTGCTTTTCTAAATCCTAGGGTACACATAAGACTATTTCTGGATTTCTTCCCCTCTACCAAAAACTGTAAGAGGCATGTTCAGTTCCTCAAGCGGCCCCCTTTATTTCCACCCTAGCAATCAGTACCACCCTATTAGTGAGAATCAGATGCAGAACAGAATTTCCCATTATTGGTTCCTTCATCTTTTGAAGGATAAAATTTTCATAAAGACAAATCAAGAAATCATAAGCTACTTCACTTTTGGCAGAAAGAAAAAGCCTCAAAAATCCAAATAACTAAAGTCCCCCACCATTACTACTAGATCATGCCTCATTAGGCTAGTGATCTGTTTCCCAAACTCTTCTATTTTATCGTTCTGTCCCTGTCTTCTGTTCTATACTCCAAGGATATAATCACTTTTGATTCTCCCTCCTTAGTTTCATCCAAATGCTCTCCAACATGCTTCTTCTTCCCTTTCTTCACATGGGTGTACCCTCTGAATATACAATATTATACCAATTTTTCTCCCCACCATTTTTACCTATCCTGCTTCTTTTAAATAGGAGCAAGGACACATGTTTGAATAGAAAGAAGAGAGACCTAAGTTGCAGTGACATCTCCTTGATCATAAAGGACCTTATAAAAACAGTTATAGTATAATGCTAACAAGGCCAAAACCTCAAATTTCATCCCTAAATGTCAATTTCATTCACATCCAATGTCAAAGAATTCACCTTTAACTCAAGCTAGTTATTTTGCACACATGGGTTTTTGGTGACAAAAGAGCCTTGAGAGTGTATAGCTTGATTCAGGGAAAATACATATAAAAACAATCTCAAAGCATATGTCCTACTGATGATGAGATAGTAGAGTGATTATATATGCATATATGCCTTATATATGATTTTCCATATATACGTATTATATATGTGAAGTACATACACACACTACTTTCAAAAGAATTTAGCTTGACAGTTTTTCACACAAAATAAGGTGAGAAAGCTTATTATTCCCTTTAAAAAATAGGGGATAATAAGAATAACAAAGTTGTTTCCCATCAAATAAAGGACAACCTAGGTCAAACTTTTATTCTGGAAGAAAAAAACTGATATCAAACTTCTCCATAAGGAAACCGAATCATCTGAAAGTGAAAAGGGTTGTTAAGTTTAGAGACATTTATAAATTACAAATGCTCACATCAACATCTGGTCTCTTTAATAAATCTTCTACTTTAGCAACATCTCCATTAGCAGCAGCTTTAACTAATTCTTCATTAAGGTCCCCAGACTCTTGAGTTTCAAATAGTTTCTTCAAGAGTTGAGATAGCCTCTCTGAAAATACAAAGTACAATTGTGGGTATAGGAAAATGATGGAACTCAGAATTTAAAACATTAGAAGACATGTTTTCCTAGAATTACTAGATTACTTCTAGAATTATTATGTTTCAAACTATTTTCTTTTTTCCTATATTACAAATAATTTATCATATAAGCCATAATTATACGATCTGAAATTATGGTAAACTGTAGAAACCAGTACTATGTGTTTCTTCAAAATCACTGTTTAATGAATTTGGAAACAGATTTGCATAGTAAACACAATTCAAAAATTTGTATTTGTAACAAAGATATTATAAACTGACATACTATTATGGAATTCACATTGAAAAACAAATTTTTTACATTGCTAAAAGACTGGTATTTGAAAAAATGAAAATAATTATCCCAACTTTCACTTTCAAGCACAACAGATTTTATAGTTAGTCCTACTAAAGTCTTGGGAATTCTATGTTCCACAATTATAACAATTCTTTATAATATCACATATTAAGTTTTTGTAAAAATGGTATTTAATCTTTTTTTAGTTGAGACTACAATCCTAAATCCTAATGATATATTTCTAAAGTTACTATCTGCTTTGTTTTAATCAAAATACGGCATAACCAGCTAGAGGGTTACCACTTGCATAAACTATTTTCACAGGCAATCCTCATTCCTGCTAATCTGAACCAAAATAGCATCAGCCACTATAGGTGCTCACCAACAAAAAGCCTGCTACAACCCGGTTCTTATATACAATTACTGAAAAGGAAAGCAAGTAGAGGAAAACTGGAAAGATACCATACACCTTACTGTACTCCCTCTATCTACTTATTATATTTACTTATCACTGCCAGAGGATGATTTGCTCCAACTTGAAGCAAACTATCTAATTAAAACAAGAGAAACAAGAATGGAGAGCACTATAAAATAACACAGTAGGTCATCCAAACTTTTTATGTAACTTATTTATAATTAAAATTATACCTTGTCCTTGAAGACATTTAAAAAATAAACTATATATTTTTTTAAAGTACATACCACCAGATGCATTGCTAATAGCTGATCCTGCTGATGCCACCTTGGAAACAGCTGCAGGATTATATGTCCAAGATGTCCCACAAACTTCTACCTTTAAATCACTGTCTGAATAAATCTGCTGTACACGGCCAACTTTGCCTAAGGTCTTAAAGATATGACAAACAGCCATAAATTTTCACATATAAAATGACTGTTACAAAATTATTTGCTTGTCATATTAATATATTTTTAAATGATACCTGAGTTGAGCTTTTATCTCAAAGAAAAAAAAATGCTAATCTTACTGAAGTAGGTTCTATGTCTGTGAACTAAATAGTACAATGTACTAATATATAAAATTAGTACCTGCAGTTTTATTAACAAATCTCCCTAAAATAAAATCAGAATTATTACTGAATAGTTTCACAAAGAATAAAAACAAAGATTTAACAAAATCATTCAATCTACCATTTTTCATAAAAATCCCCCTTTCATCATACACTGAATTTTTTTTTTTTTAAATAAGACATATTTTTTAAAATAAGACCCCTTCTCCTCCTTACAAGCTACCTGTATATTAGGGCAATTAGCCAAAAAAGAAAAACAAAACCTACAATAAACAACATTCAGATTATACAAATGAGCTCTCTCTTCAAGGACATCATATAAGGCAAGTGTTCAAGCTAATTTATCACAGAAATTAATGTTGTTAAGTAGTTAACGCAAAATATTTAATCTTCAAGTAAAGTTCTAAAGTGAAAATACACGGAAAGGGCAGCAGAAACCTTCTGACAAAATAGATAAATAAAATAACTACTAAAAGCACTAAATCACAATGACTGCAAGCCTTCCGAGGGGAAAGGTCCTGAGAAATCATCATTTTAAGTGTCAATGTTTCTTCACCTCAGAAACCACAACAGTGAGTACATCTGGAGAGATATTAACTACTGTATCAAATCAATAAAATACCAGTGTATGCAACAGTTTTGCCCCATAGCAAAACTCATTTTCAAACCAGAACTTATATTGAAGTTCTAGTACATAGCTGATTTTTAAAATCAAATATTAAGCTTTGGAATCTTGAAAAATTATGGAAAATATTTAAGTGCTGTAGCCTCAAAAGGAAAGAAGCATTATTTTCATAACTCACATTTCTATAGCTCTCAAGGTTTACCAAGTTCTTTCTTCCCAGCACTCCTGTGAAGCAGGTAGTGCAAGCATTTATCCCCATTTTAGGGGGGGAAATGAAGTCCAGAGAGACTAAGTAATTGTTCAAGGGTCACAAAGCAGGGCCTACATCAGGCTTCTGATTTTCCACAACACCTCTCTAGAATGAAAATTTAGAGCATGACAATTTTCACTGTAAATAATGACAAAAAGGATCCCAAAACACAACCTTTCAAAAATAAAATTAATTATATGTGAAGTGCCAATTAATAATGCTTTTCTCAGTGCCTAACTCAGGTTACAGAAAAGTCTATCTTTTCTATTCACTATCTCTGGAGGGATAGAATTTGTAGTCTATGAATTTTAAGTCTAAATCTTGACTCACACTTACAGTAATTGTATGAACATGGCCAAATCACTTAATCTCTCAAAGTTTCAGTTTCCTTTTATGTAAAATGGGAATAAATTTGAGCTATTATTATTGCTAGAAAGTGAAGCAATGGAAGAAATATCTCTGGGAAGGAAATTTAACTTTTCTATATTCCTTATCTTCCCCCCCTTTATTAATTCTTCTTAACTGAAAAAAAAAATTAAAGGCTCAGCTTTCAATAAATAATAGCTCACCCAACTCTGGGAAATTTTACACTGTTGTGGTTTTGAGAATTTATCTGCTTACATATCTAAACGAAATATAAACAAACAAGTTCACCTAATCAAATGTCCCATTTTTATATACTTACAGGAAGCATAGCTTCTGCCCATTCACCATGACCTCTTTGTAGAAGCTTAATTCTTTCTAGATCGTAACAAACCTGAACAAGGTCACCCACTTGAAACTGTGAAGTACCCCCTTCTGCACCCTGTGCAGCATCCCCACTTCGGACAACATTAGCTTTAGTGAGAACAGCTGGATTGAAGGTCCATCTGCAAAATAAAATTAAGTGGCAAATTATATTTACTCATTTTTTAAAAATTCTTCATGTTGAACTATTTTTTACAATGAGTTTGCTAAGGAAAATATTTTTAAATGTCAGCAACAAAGTTGATCTTCAAAATATTTGTAAGATATTTTAATTTTTTAAAAGAAATTGTAATGTTCTTTTAAAATCATTTTATAATCAATTTGTGAGCATACAATCCACTATAATCAGTTCATATATAATTACACAGGGTACACATACACACACATACATAATCAATTTATGATATTTCCTCATCTATAGATTTGTAAGGAACAGGACCACTATTTTAAAGTAAGCTCAAATGAAAGTATACATCTGCCCCCCAAAAAAATAAAAATAGCATAAAGCAATATAATAGGTTACTGAAAACTTTGTCTGGAAAAAAAAATATTCATGATCTGGAAAAGTAATGGTGCCTAACAGCATATAGAAATGGAAATATTAAGGGTTTGGAAAATGAAAAAGCTGTAACTCAATTTTATGGTGATAACGCTTATGTAAGATTAAAAGGAAAGAAAAACCAATCTTTTAGAACATCTTTAACAATCTCATTGAGAAGACTTGTATCACGATATATAACAATTCTTCATTATCCATATTTTAGGAGAGGAAAATGAACATGGATAAGGCAAGAAAAAAATTTTAAATTATAAAATTTAAAATAATTTACATGTAGTATTTAAACTCACAAAATTTGTGGCTTGCACACAAAGTATGTTGACCTCTAAACTCCTCCTGCTTACCGTCAGACTGGGATTTCACTGCAAAGTAAGTTTTACTACAATGTATCCCTCCAAAAAGGGGTGGAGTGGAGAGTCCCTTCTCAAAGTATTTACCTAATTCTTAATTAAGAAAAATCAGAACCAGAAAATAACTCCAGGGTTATTCTATGCTAGTCTCTGCGTAAGGTAAACAATGCCGGAAGCTAACAGCCATGTATGGAGGGAGCACAACAGAATGTAAGAACACTAGATCTATAGTCAGAAGACAGGTTTGACTTGGAGCTTTGCCAGTTACTGAGCAAGTCCATTAGCTTTCTTTCCATACCAAAAAATAATGATAGTATTGCTAACCAGTATATACTTTTGAGCACTGTTTTTGCATTAAATTAAATGATGTATATAACATGATATAAAATTTAAGCAACTATTAATATTGTGCCTACCAATTCTATTTTAAAAATACCTTCAGAAATGGAAATTCCACAACTCCCCTAATTCATTGTCCCTATAATCAATTACATCATTTAACTAGATTCCTTTGCCTACATAAGGAAAAAGAGGAAAACTGGCTAGTGTACTTGAATAACCCTTAATATAATGATAATCCATAGCATAATCAATAATGTGTTGGCCTTAGAGTCAATACACCTCCATTCAAAAAATGACTCTTCCCTGTCGCCAACCCCCACATATACTAGCTATGTTACTCTAGGTATGTCATTAAACCTTTTAGCTTCCATTTACTCACCTACACAATAAAGATAATATCGTTAGTACTTACCTCATGGGGCTGTTGTGAGGATCAAATGACAGAATGTATTTAGAGTACTTCTCAAACCTTAAAGCACTTTTTAAGTGTCTCTTTGTATTACTAATATTATTAATCTCTTTCTATCTTTTTCCATGGAGTTCAGAAAGAAACAGTCCTGGGACAAGTCACTATCTTGCTATTATTCTTTTACTGTTAATGCTCTTCAAACTACTGCATAGGTGGAATAAAATAACTGCTTTTTTTAATGAATAAAAAGCACTGGAAGTGGTTTTATTATTACTGTCATGGTTAAAAAACTTGAGCTCATTTCACGATTTCTTTACAAGGCCTATTTAATCTCTCTCAATACTCTCTTGGTCATTTCTACATCTTCTTAGGGTCATCACACATCTCAAAATGTGACTCTCAAAATCAGATGGTCAACTCTTAGGACCTAACCAAAGCCAAGCAAAACAGAATTATCTTCTAATTCTTGAATATCACCTTCCTATTAACTTTCTAATAATATGCAAATGTAAATAAAAAGGTACAGTATTTCTTATTCAGGGGCAGTATTCTATGATACATTACAACTTCTAGCACTTTCTCTGCTTCATTTGTTCCAGGTCAGTCTTACAAAATCTTTTTTCCCTAGGGATAGAAAGAGAGATTAGACCTGTAATTTCATTGGCATAAGGAAACTTCCTCTACCAATGTAGGTCAGCACCATCTTTGTAATGTATAATATTAGAGAGCTGCCTAGGGTGCGTAAAGGTTAAAGAGCCTGCCCAAGGTCACAGTGAGAGGCAGGATTTCCTTATGTTTTATTTCTCCTCCTAAAGTGGAATACTTTCAGTTTTTCTCTATTAAGTTAAATTCTACTTGGTCTCCACATTAAAAAGCTTTTTAGTTACATTCATTTTATTTTCTAACTTTTATGTACACATCCTAAGTGTGTTACTATCTAAAATTGAGTATCACCAACCTATTGCCACTCGGGTACTGTACTACAATGTCATGATCTTCATCAATGCCACAAACTGTTCCAGTTGTAGTTAAAGTCTCAAACATGCCATCAGTCCATCCTCCATGCCCATGTTGCAAAGACTGTACAATTTCTAGATCAAGATCTATGTTTACTAGGTCACCAATCTGTAGTCCACCAGGATTCCGGTTACCATTCTGCTCACCTGTAATTGGGGGGGAAAAGGGAACAGTCATAGGAAGGACCACTGGATTATAACAAGCATAGTTACCGTGATTCCGTAGAGCAAATACTCTAGCTGCTATCTCCACTGAAAGGGTTTTTGTCTTGTATTTTCAGAAGTACAGACTCAAAATGAGTTCAGATAAAATATGAGATTCTTGAATCAAACATTTAATTTTCCTGTTTTTCAAAGAAGTCAAGTAAATCATGTTTTTGCCTTTTGTGATTCACTAAAACCTTTTATACTAGAGAGAGGAAAAAAAAAGTTCACTACCTAAATTTACACATTACACAAGCTACTCTATATTGACAAAATGAAATAACTAGATGACTATAGGGTAATGAGTTAAAATATAGTTAACTGGAAGTAATTCACTTAATGGAATCTGTTCTACTGATTAGTTGTGGGGTTTTCTTTTTTTTGCTTTTCTTTCCCAAGAAATAGTGTACCCAAATTTTAAAACAAAAACAAAAATGTTCCTGCAAAAATTTAAGTCCATGTTTTACTACAAAGTTCAAATGAGCTAACTTTTTAAAGAAATCTTAACAATGAATTCTTTTCATGATTAATTGCTGACTTGGTAAATTTCTTTTGCATCATTATTAAAAGTAACTAGATTGAAATGAGTTTAATTCAGTTCAATTCAAACATTTATTAAGTGCCCTGTAAGAAGCTGTTCCCGGTACCAGGGATACAAAGACATAAACAAAAACAATCCCAACCCTTAATAACCTTACATTTTACTCAGGAGACGCAGTGAACACGTATACAGATAAATAAATATACAAGGTAATTTAAAGACAGAGAGCATTTACAACTGGGAGAACTAGGAAAGGTCCCATAAAGGAGATGGCACCCAAGCTGCATCTTAAAGGAATCTAGGGATTGCAAGAGGTGAACACTGAGTGCTTAACTTGTTCAATGGCACATAGATGAGAGTTAAATGTTAGCAAAAGCTAACGGAATACTTTGACCGGAATGAAGAAACACATAAGGAAGAAAACATGAAATAAGTAACATGAAAGGTTGAGTGCCAAATTATGAAGGGCCTTCAGTAATGACTTGGTATTTTTTAATATCATAGGAAACCACTGAAGTATCATCAGAGTAGTGTTTTAGGAACAATAATTTGGCACTGTGAAGAATAGATTAGAGACATGAAGGTCAACAAAAATTATTTTAAGCACTCCCCTAAAACACAGAACTATTAAGATGAGTCTACCACATAAACAGCTACCAAAAAACCTGGTTAAGAATATGGCCTAACACTCTGACATTTGTAACACTAATTGACCATTAACTTATTTATGTAATCTGAGTCCCAAAATCCACATGTAAGGGACTCCTGCCTCACTGGTAGAGGTCAATCAATTCCCCCTGTGTGAGAAGCAAGCAAAGTTAGTAAGAACATGAGCGAGGAAAGCTATGCTTCCTTCAGACATTCTTTGAGACTCTCTTCAAGTCACTTCAGGCACTTCTGGCTTCCAGCTTTTGAGATAGAAGATGGAAGATGCCAACTCCACTACAGGCTGCTGAAGAAGAAGATTCTGTAGCAAGTAATTGTAGTTTGCTACAATTGAAAGTTTGGGAAATTTCCTCTTGGGTGAAATCTAGTACTGTATCTCTAGATAAGCTGAGTTACCTTGCTCCCAATGAGAGAGCTCCTTCACCCTGTATTGCCTGTTACACATTTTTCTATGTATACTTTCTCCGGTTTCTGTTTTGCTGTCAACTTGGATAAATGGATTTCTTTGCTATCTGGTATATGTATTCATTGAGGAACTAGTATTTGGTGGGAAAGGGGTCAAACCTTGGATATAAAGCTTTGGTCCTCCTTTCACCCATTAAGAAAGAGCTATCATAAGTTTAGCAGCTGGCTCCAATCTCCCATTTCTCTTGACAGGTATTAAATTCTCCCTAAATGAGGCACATGATACCCCTATTCTACACATGAGGGGACTCATTCATTTAATTTATAATTACATACACAAGGCCTAGTAAGGAAAACCAAAGCCACAAGAAAAAAAATATATCAAAATAATCAGGCGTATTGTCACATCAGGATACTCTCAGGATGAAACCAATGCTGTTTCACAATAATACTGTTCCTAAATTAAAATCAAATTCTACCACAGTCTTAAAGAATTTGTGACTAGAAGGAGAGATCTAGGCTAACACTTTTATTTTATAAGAAAACACAACAACCAAAAACAAACAAACAACAAAAAACACACCTCACTGTAACATATATCCTAAGCACCCACCAATTCATCATATTAGGTAGAAGATATGACAATAGGTATAAAAAAATTTTTTAAATCAAACACTATGAACTAAATTACCTATGCAAATGGAAAAGAACTATATCAGTACAGAAATAGAAATCTAGGATCTTATTATGAAAGTTCTATTATGATCTACAAGTCAAAGCAGTTACTTTATAATGCAAACTTTTTATGAAGACTTTAATTTATGGTATTGTATGTTGATTTACATCTGTTCCCAAGCAAGCTTCCTAATTAAGTGCTTCTAGTTACTGGCTACTTTCCTACAAGGGACAGTGTTTGTACCCTGAAACCCTCAAAAGTGCAAAAAAGACAGAAGCCTAGGGCCTAAGGGTAGAGAGAGCCTATCAAGGCAAGAAAAACATAAGGTAAGCATCTTCATTGCTTGCATATACCCTCTCCACTGGGGATACTACTAGCCTAATTGTTTAGTGTTTAATCATAACCCTAGGCCAACACAAGTGCTACAAATAGAAAGATTTACTGTACTGTAAATAATAAAGGGAATAGGAAGGCTCTGACTGGGAAAAGCAGGCCAGGTATGAGGGACAAACAAAAGGTTAGAATGCTGAACATTAAGTCAGAGTCGTTAGGAGTTTTTTGTTGTTGTTACTGTTACTGTGTTAAACAAGTATTTTATTGATTTGTTTTCTTTAATGCACATCACTGTCATTTCCTAATGATGCTCCCTCTCCTTGATGCCATAAAATTCTCCCATGCAACTTATAACTAAGAAAAACAAACCAAATCATTGGCCATGTCCGACAACATACACCTATGAAATGTCTTTGATATACTAACAGAAAATGTGAATCAACGATAAACTGTAAAGTCAACAAGCACTTTCTATGTGTAACACATTGTGCACTGGATGGAATGAAGAGCATAACGCTCTAAGATGGGAAAACAGGAAGAAAAACTATATCCAAAATGTTCCCCACAATTTTTATTGACAAATTCATTCACTACCATTACTCCAATCATCCTCTTCATATAGATAACTTCTAAATATTTACAACCAACACGAACTTTCTCCCAAGCTTCAGACCCCTATCTCCAATTGCTTACTGGTCGTTTCCACCTGGGTTTCCCATTAGCACCTCAGATTAAACTTTCATTTCTCCCAAAACCTGTTCCACTCCTAACTTCCCTGTTTGGATTTTTTTTTTCTTTTTTGGCTTTTTGGTGAGGCAACTGGGGTAAATTACTGGGCTGGGGTCACACAGCTAGTAAGCGTCAAGTGTCTGAGGCTGGATTTGAGCTCAGGTCCTCCTGACTCCAAGGCTGCCGTTCTAACCACTGAGCCACCTAGTTGCCCTTTCTGTTTGTATTTCTGACACCACCACTGACTTACCACATTCAAAATATCTGGTGTAGGCTTTTGCACTTTGTCCTCTGCCTAACCTCTTCTGAGATGTGAAGCTTTGGACAAGTTACCTCCTCACTTCTGGGAACTTTAGGTTCATCACTGAGTAAGTCAGATTAGATGCTCCAGAATGAAGGGACAAATGTGTTAGTCTATTCAATTCTATAACACCTCTCTCATTCTCTCTCTGTCCCCTTCTCTCTATTCCCACCAGCACCACCTTAGTACAAGCTCTCATTACCAAACTCTAGGACTTTTACAAAAATATCCCAAAATAGCAATCCACTCCTCTGTGCTTTCCCCTCCCCTCAAATACACCTTGATTCAGTTGTAAAAGTAATTTTCCCACCATCTTAAACTCCTTGACTCAACTCCACTGTCTCTGTCATGCCTCCATCTTCACCTCCTTTTTTTTTTCCAGCTTCTTATTGTTGTGTTGCGTTCTTCCATTAGATTATAAACTCCTCGAAGGCCAGCACTATCTTTCTTTTTCATACTTCTATCGCCAACACTTAGCATTATGTCTGGCACATACAGATCTGATATAGAGATCTGCTAATACCACTCTTTCATGCTAAAGCTTTAAATGTGTGACAAATAAGGACTTTGCAGAGAACAGACTGATGGCTTAGAAAGCTGTTACTGATAGTGAAAGTTCTTGCATCCAACAAGTCTCTCTCTCAGTCTTTCCATATTGTACAAAAAAGGAAGCTAGGACAGCTAGGGGGCACCATAGTGCATAGAGCACCTGGCCTGGAGTCAGGAACACCCACCTTCATGAGTTCAAATGCAGCCTCACACACTTGCTAGTTGTGTGACCCTGGATAAGTCACTTAACCTTGTTTGCCTCAGTTTCCTCATCTGTAAAATGAGCTGGAAAAGGAAATGGCAAACCACTCCAGTATCTTTGCCAAGAAAATCCAAATGGAGTCATAAAAGAATCAGGTACAACCAAAAAAACAACTAACAAGAAGCACTGATTCTGGAAAAGGTATGTGTCAATTGGCTCCCCTATGGCCTATCTCACCATTCCTATTACTTTCCAGACCAAAACACCCTTCCCTGGCCACCTCTTCCCTATCTCTCTCTACTGGAGTACAGAGACGGCCTCAATTCAAGATTTGTATTTCCAGGGCTTTACCACATAGCAAGCACTTACAAAAAGTTATCCATCCAATCATTCAGAGACTAGTCAAGTATCAGCTAGCACCCCTGCTAGACTGTGAGTATCTCCAGATGTCAGGAGACATCACTGAAATCTTCATTTTCTGTATCTTTCTCAGTCCAACCTGGCACCATGTATGCCCACAGTAACACATAATAATGCTTACTCATGAAGTGGTAAAAAGAATAGCAGTCTAGGGATGAGGAGACAAATAGCTTGCTTTTGAAGATCCTCAACAATGTAACAACATCCTATCTTTAAGCTTTATGTAACATTGTCTTCTTCCACATCTGCTATGGACTATTTGATGTCCCCTGTAAATGCTCATCTGTGCTTTTGCTAAAACACTCCCTCCCCTAAACTTCACTTCCTGAAACTTCACTTTAAAGCCCAACTCAAATGCTACTGCCTCAATGAAGCCTTCCTGATATCTCGTCCTGCTCCCACTAGACTCTCTGCCTTAGTAACAATTCTTTCCACCCCAGCCCTCTAAAAGCACTTGGATTACCAATCTCCTATGTGCTTCTACAGCATCTTCTATTACAAGTATCTGTACATGTGTCAAACTCCTCTCATAGATGTTAAGCTCAAGGAAGACAGAGACAGTCATTTATTTTATGACTTCATCTCCTCCATCATCTCCAACAGCACCCCTGCAATGCAGCAAGTTCTTCAAGTTTTTGGAAGTTGAAGGTGAAAGCGGAAATCCAGAGATCCTTTAAAAGGCCTGTATCGGAGCAGCTAGGTGGCACAGTGGATAAAGCACCGACCCTGGAGTCAGGAGGACCCAAGTTCAAATCCGGTCTCAGACACATAACACTTACTAGCTGTGCAACTCTGGGCAAGTCACATAACTCCAACTGCTTCACCAAAAAAAAAAAAAGGCCTGTATCACAGGCTGGGAAAAAGACATACAAAGACCTGGGGTGAGCCTAAAAGCACTGTAGGCAACGGCTTGACCCAATACCGGAAGGCATAAAGAGGGCAGTTTTATTTATCAGAAGAACTATAACCATAAATGCCAGAGTCTAAAGAAAGAACTCATAGATTAAATGGGAATGACAATATGAAACACCTAGAAGAAAAAACTATCACTTGAAATCTTTGACCTACTACAGAAGCAGCTATAGGATTCAGTGACTTCCCCCTTGGTAGAACTAAAGTATAACCCAACTCCGACAAATGTGGAGGATGAAATTTCCTTACACTTCAATAACGTTTAGTAAATAACTTGCATGTGCTAGAGGTTATAGACAAGAAGATAGTTCTGATGTTTCAAAAGAAGCCAGAAAAATGGACAAAAAGGCATGGACCTACAACCATAGTAACTGAAAAGGAAAAAAATCCCAGAATGTTATTCTTCTTCACTGCTACTATCCAAGATTACAAATCAGAGATAAAAGGAGATTCTGTGTCCCATTTCATCACAGATAGAGTCAATAAAAAATGCATGATCACTACTTTTACATTATTTTTGATCCCCAAGTATAATCATTAATGTTTCTAACCTTTCTAAAAAAAAAACAACTATTTTGCTTTAAATATGTGATTTTTAAAGGTCTCCCCTTTTTTGAAAAAATTAGGTCCCAAGATCACAGATTTAGAGCTCGTTATTAGGGACCTCAGAAGCCTTTGGGTCCAACCTCACCTTAAAGCCGGAGAAACTGAGGCAGAAAATTGCTAATAACTTGGTAATAAAATTGTTAATAACTAGGATCAAAAAGCAAATAAGTAATTCATGACTCAGGATGTGAACCCAAGTCTTTTTGCCTCCAAGTCTAACGCCCTATCCGCTACACCATGATGCCAATAAAATAAGAAATGTACTCTAATTTGCACAAGAGATGTGTTCCTAGAAAATCAACATTAAAATAGTTTAAGTGATTTTTATTGCTTATATCAACTTAAATAAAACTACATTTACCACCTTAACTAAAGTATTCAGGACCATTGACTTTATTTACCTACCCTACCTGTAAATTATTTCCCTTCTGTGAAACCTAGAATCTTGGAAGATGTCTTTTATATATAGTAACAGTACTATTAGCACCATGCAAGGTAATCAGTGTACACAGTTACCAAATCTTAAAAAACTGATTCCATGAATATGACACAATTAGAAAGGCACTGATCAAAAATGTACTAAATTGAAAAATGAAATTCTTGAATTTAAGGACCTAATGAGTTAAAATATTGGACAAAACATTGGCTCATGTGAAAGGATAATGAAAATTGTCGTGGGGCATATCACTAGGCAAGCTATTAAATCCAATAATGTTGCCAGTTACAAAAAACTTGATAGCAAACAATCTTTTTTCCTGTTGTTTGTAATGTGACTGAATTTATAACATCTTCTATTTCCAAGTATATTTTATTCAAAACAACCTTATGTTATATGAAACCACTTGTAGTAGGCTCTTTAAGAAATTATTTGCAAATAGTTTACTTCTACGGTTCTGCCTACGGTGTGTTTCCTGGAAGTAAAGGAATATAAAAGAAAAAGCCACTACAAAACAACTGAAAGCACATTTTAGAAAAAGCTATATAATTCATATGAGACCACTAACTATATTTATCTATTTAACATGTTGACTTTTCTGTATGGGTAATGCCTGTATGGTCCTAATGCCTTAGGACTATAAATGGTCTTTGCTGCTAATAAATACGAGACTACTTATAAGACCAAATTATGAGACATCTCAGAAACCAATTACATGGATCACTTTCAGTAGCATAACTGGGGTACACAGTACCAAAAAATAACCTGAAGACAAGCATCATACACATACTGCCAGGAGCAGGGCAGAATAACAGAAAAGAATACTAGCCTTGAAAACCAGGAGGGACTAACTTTGAATATTGACACAGACAATGATACTTTGTGTTACCATGGACAAGTCATTTAACATCTCTGAACCTCAATTTCTTATGTAAAATGAGGATAAAAATACATGCATTATTTACCTTACAAGTGTTATGAGCATGAAAAGAGGTAACATACAAAAAGTGTTTTGTAAACCTTAAAGCACTGTATGAGGACTAGTTAATATGCTTATCATTGTCTATGAAGCCCAAAAGGACATAATTTGTATTTTTCTTTCAGCTTGCCTCGGGGGTAAAGAGACCACACAAGCAAGTTTGAGAGCCAAAGAGCCTAGTGAGGATCTTAACCAGGTAGACAGCATAAGCACAACGCCAAAAGTTCTCTTCGAAAAAAATACCTTTTAGAGACAAGTATCTTCAAAAGAGTTTGAAAAGAAATTTAGAGAGCCAAACGGACAGCACTAAGAACAGCTATGGGATTTTAGCAAAATGTGAAATCATAGAGGATAGGATTTTACAAAACTGATTTCAAGTAAAGAAATTTACAGGCAAAAGGCTAATATGATCTGCAAATTTTGTGCCTAGGCACAACTTGCATGAATAAACAAATCAGTAAAAACCTAAGTTAGTTTCTCTATGACAGATGGTGGTTAAGTGTTACACAGTATCTTAGTTTGGGCTGTTTTGTTGCTTTAGGAGCAGAGAGAACAATTTTATAAGAATGTAATGGAATTCTCCTAACAGTCAAATTTTAAGTGTTAAGTAAAGACTTATATTATAAATTTTTTTCAATCCAACAATCATTTATGAACCACCAATTTTGTACAAGGTTCTGTGCTAGGTATAAAGAAACATTAAAAAAATACCCTCTGCAATCAAAAAACCTATATACTGTAAGAGCGACTAATCTGGATCCCTACTACCTGATGACCATATACAGTTCCATCCCCCCATTGATTATGTTACCTCCAATTTTAGGAGTCCAAGCACCCCAGTTCTATTAAACTACTCAGCAGTCAGATTAGTATTTTATACAATGTTTAAAAAAAAAACCACAAGTTTTTCAGAAAATTATTTTAGCCCATGAAAAACATGTGAATTGTTTAGAAATGAAAAGGTGTATCCCTTTGGGTCAAAATTAGTAAGCAGGAAAAAATGGCCAATAAGGCATTTTACAAAACAGTGATTTTCCCAATCAACCTCCAAAGGTAATAACTGTCAGCCTAATAAACCTTAAAACTTAGTCAAATTTTTTATGAAACCAGACCAATTATTCAATAAATTGCTGTCATCTGCTAACTTACCTAGCACAGGGCAGTGGTCTCTGTAGAAAGAGCCTCCTTTAGCATCCTGGACACACTTCAAGTCAGACTAAAGGCAAGAAATCAAATGCATATATGAGAGATTTCAACAATATCTGAAACTAGAAGAAATGTGGGCAACTCAAAACTTATGTTAAAAGGAATCCTAGAGTAACTCTGGATTCATAGTGGTCATACTTTAACATGCTTTCAAAATCACATGTTGTGACATCTAAAGAACCTTTTAGCTCTAAATCAATGATCACCTGATTATTAAATACATTTAGGAATACATGGAATGATACCTTGTTTACTTTCTCAGCTTCATCTAAAGCCCCAAACCAAGAAATTAAAAAAACTTGTCAAATTGCCAAAACAATTCCAAATTAACTACTGGATTAAATAATTTTTAAATAGGTTGTTCAAAAGTCTCAAGATTTTCTGTCTTTTTTTTAAATAAGTACTGTCATTATGTTAATATATTTTAGTTGAACTGTCAGCATCACATTTAGTTCATTATAGATCATCCTAAAAGATGAACTATAACATTATTTAATATTTCAAAAATCCATTTTTATTTCCTTCAGGCAAAGAATTGATTGGAAGAAGCATTTAACAAGGAAACGATATTAAGGAAATAAAGTAGCAGCATCTGCACTCTCAGCATGAAAAAATACCACTTCCAAAAATGTGTGTCATAAATGATCATTCTACTGAACATTCATCATATACATGTGTGTATACATATATGCAGAGATAAGTTTATTCCACAAGAGTTTTCCAATTTAAAGAAAAAAGGAAAATTACTCTAAGTATATAATGATGCAATATATTTATCTAAAGTTTTGTTTTTGAACCACATCTATAAATCTATATAACCCCCACACCCATACATACTCACATATATGCACATGCCCACACACATATACACAATCTCATTTCAGCTTCAAAAAAACCTTGTGAGGCAGACAAGGTAGATATTACCAAGAAATGCCTATTTTTTTTTATTTGTTTTTGTTTTGTGAGGCAATTGTGAGTTAAGTGACTTGCCCAGGCTCACACAGCTAGTAAGTGTCAAGTGTCTGGTCTGAGACCGGATTTGAACACTCAGGTCCTCCTGACTCCAGGGCTGGTGCTCTATCCACTGCCCCAACTAGCTGCCCCCAGAAATGCCTATTTTTGAGATGAGGAAACCTGGTTTAACAAAATTAAGTGATCTACTTGAGGTCACACATCTAATAAATAATAAAATCACTAGTACCTATATTTCATAACTCCTAGTTTGAATCTTTTTACTATACTTATCTAACCTCTAATGTCACCTAGTTATTTCCCCTCACTTCTTAATAACACAATTACTTCAAGCACCATCCAATTTAACATTTTTAAGAAAGGACATTTAAACTAGAAAAAAAAGGGAGGGGCAAAAAACATTCATCTTAAAGATTATTACGGATTTTTAAAAATATTGTTGTCTAACTGAATCGCAAAGAGAAAATGAACAATTTTCCTTGAGAGTATTGACAAGCCTCAGATTTACACTTATCCTACTGAGCAGGAAAGAGTTTCTGATCCCTTACATCCTCCGTGCCACAGCCAGTAACAACTTATCCAATAGTTGGTTTCTTTGGTGCTTTATCAGACTATTGCAGTTTCTAAATGAAAAGGGAACTAGTTTTTCTTCCAGTCAAGGGCATCATGAAAGGAAAATTAGTAGAGGAATAGGTTCTATACACCCCCATGCTTTCCTTAATTTTCTCCTCAGTTATCCAACATCTTTCTCAGTATAGTAATTTCGGATGATCAATACAATATTTGCCTAAACAACAATAACAAAAAAAAATCCTTTATTTTGAAAATGATTTCACTTCTAACATATAATAGACTTGTTTCTGTAGAGAATCTTTCTATACCACAGTCTCTTAATACTACTGTCCTTAGTATTCACAGTTCTTTGTTTTACTGACCTCCTCAACTAGGTCCTTCTGATATTTAAGCAATCTAAGTGACCTTGGATGATGTTCAACATAAAACCAATACAATTAGCATTTATTAAGCTTCTCTAATGTGTAAGGATGAGGATACAAAAACAAAAACGAATGGTCACTGAATTCTGAGCTTACATTCTACTGGAAGACATACACAAGCAAACAGGTGAGAAATTATGAAGTAATTTAAGGAGAGCAAGAATACAAACTACTAGAGGGATCAGAAAAGGCTTCGGGTAGAAGGTGGTCACACACACACACACACACACACACACACACACACACACACACACAC